GCTGCGCGCCGCCCAGGGGCAATTTAGCTCAGCCGTCTGCTGATAAGGGCGGCCCCGCCCGCGGGGCGACCAATTGGAAAATCGAGCGCCCGTGACGCCGCTGTCGCCAGGTAAAGATCTCCAGCAGGTGGACGGTCCCGTAGATAGAGCGCGCCCGGGCGCTGCGGCCTCCCGTCAGCCTCCCTGCAGCCCCCCCCCCGACTCCTTGCCCGGGGTCTCCGGTTCCGGGGGGGGGTGTCTGCTGGATATCCCCCTCCCCACAAGACGGGCGGAGGTGGGTTCGCCCTTCTCCTTTCCAAATGGGGCAGAAGGGACGGTGCCTGGGGCCCTGCCGGAGTCTCTGATTCATTCAATCAATCAGAATGAAGTTGGAAGGGACCTTCGAGGTCTTCTAGTCCAACCCCCTGCTCAAGCCGTTCCACACCCGGCGGCTGTCCGGTCGCTTCTTAAAAGCCTCCAGGGATGGAGCCCCCACCGCTTCTGGCGGCAAGCCGTTCCGCTGGTTAATCGTTCTCTCCGTCAGGAAGTTTCTCCTTAGTTCCAGGATCCCTTCAGATCCTCCCCGTGCTTGGCTAGGGGTTCATCAGCTGGCCCTGCAAGGATCGGGTGGCGAGAGTTCGAATTCTGCGTTGAGCATGAAAGTCGGCTGGGTGAGCCAGTCTCTCTCTCTCTCTCTCTCTCTCTCTCTCTCTCTCTCTCTCTCTCTCTCTCTCTCTCTCTCTCTCCCTCCCTCCCTCCCTCCCTCTCTGCCCCCCAGGGTTGTCATTGTGGGGTAAAGGAGGCTGGCCGAAGGATTAAGTTACGTTCGCTGCCTTGCATTATATGTAAAAGTCACTTGAACCAGGCAGGAAATACATTTGATAAACAAATATAAAAAGACAGGGGATTTAAAAAAATGTAGCAATGCTACGGTAATTAATTATTTCCACAAAGAAGCTGAAGAAACAGTGGACCACTTGGGGAGCCCCTGCAAGAAGACCACAGGGACTGACAGTTTAGCCAGCGGCATGACAAAGTCGCAACAATGGAAGAATCTGCAAAAAAAAAAAAAAAAAAAACACCACCCCACCATTTGCCTTCAAGCCAGAGCTTTTCTAAGAGCAGAAAATAGACAAAGTAACACAAAATGAGGAAGCTAAAGTACTCTGGGACTTTGGAGCTCAAACAGACAGGCGCCTGCCACAAAACAGCCCAGAACTTGACAATTGTCGATAAGAAGGACAAAAAAAAAAAAAGAAAGTCTGGATCGTGGACGTGGCACCACCTGGAGACAGCGGAAGAGAAGAGAAAGAACTGGAGAAAACTCACAAAATGCAAAGATCTGCAAATAGAAATACAAAAAAAAAAAAACAACGGTGGCAAAAAAGCAACTGAACTCTAAATTTTCATCACTAAGCAAGACGGTTATTAAGTGGGTTGTACCACCTTTTTATGACCTTTTTTTGGCCACAGTTGTTAAACGAATTGCTACAGTTGTTAAATGAGTCATGCTTTCCTTTCAAGTATAAATTTTTATTATTTTCATCATAAAAAAAAAAACATCACAGGTATATCACAATGCTATAAAAAAGCCCCACCCCCCACCCCCCACCCCCCCGGACTTCCCAAACCTAATCCCAGGATACTATTCAAATAAAAGTAAACTACTATTAATATCCCTAACTCCACAAAATATTATTCTACATAAGTAGGTGAAATATATATATATAAAAAGAACAAGTTAACTAAAAACCTAAATTATATTCCACCATTCTATGCTTTTTTTGAATATAAACAATCCATCTTCTCCATATTAATAAGAATTGTTCGTTTGAATGATTCTTCAAATAAGCCGAAATCTTTGCCATTTCAGCATAGTCATGCTTTCCCTACTAACTTTCCTTGGCAGAAGCCGGCTAGGAAGGCCACAAATGGTGACCGCGTGATCCCAGGAGGCTGCAACGGTCCTAAGTACAAGCCAGTTGCCAAGCCTCTGAATTTTGATCACACGACCATGGGGATGCAGCAAGGCTCCTAAATGTGAAAAAACGGTCATAAGAGTCACTTTTTCAGCGCGGTTGTAACTTGGAACGGTTGCTAACTGAATGGTGGTAAGTTCAGGATTTCCTGTAGTACCGGTAGCGACGGGGGGGGGGCTTGAGTGCAATCCCAAAACATCTGGAGCACCCCTTGAACACACCGTGGGCGTTGACCAAATCCCCCTCAGTCAATTGCGGAAGGCAGCTTTGCTTGGAACGGCTTCAATCCCGCAAGGAGAGCTTTCACGCCATCAAACGTCCGCCATCTGCCTCTCCCGGGTCCTGGGGAAGGACTCGATGGGTGGACAAAGACGCCAAATGCAGCCTGAACATCTGGCTGTGGGACCCACCCCGACGCCAGCGCCCTCCCCCCCCNCTCCCCCCTCACTTTTCTCCTCCCCCTCGCTCTTCCTTATTCCCACCTCACTTTGTCCCCCCCTCTCTCCTTGCTCCCCTTTGCTCTCCCTTGCTTTCCCCTCGGTCCCCCTCATTCTCCCTCACCCCCTTCTCCCCTCTCCCTCGCTCTCCCCCCCTCTTTCCTCGCCTCCAGTTTTCCTTCCTGCTCTGCGTGGGCGCCATTTCCTCCCTCCTGACGCAGGGCTGGGGCTCGGGCTTCCTCATGCATCTGAGACCCACAAAAGAGGGGCGATCGGCCCCAAGGAAAGAGGGCAAGGGAGTTGAGGACCCCCAATTACATCCCTTGCGTCCTGAGGCTCGGGAAGGTGCCAAAATCTAAAGGGCCTCTGCAGCTAGAGGTGGGGGCAAGGGGGAAGGAAGATGAGACACCCCCCCCTTCATTGCCCTCTTTAGGGTTTCTGCTCCACTCCAGCCTTGTCCCTCCTCTCCGGACAGGGGGAATTGAGTTCCCACGAGGCCTTCCCAACAGCAGGAAGTGAGAAAGGGGGTGAGGGGGGAGAGTTTCAGGGAGACCAGGCTAAAAGAGGAATGAGAAGTGAATCTTTTGAGGGAGGCGAGTTTGAGGAGGGCTCAAGCCTGAAGCTTCATCTTTATTGCCTGGAGGTGTTTCAGCCTATAGCCAAGATGCTTTCTGGTGGTCTCCCATCCTCAGACTAACCAGCCTGATCCCTCTCAGCTTGGTGAGGCCATCTGAGGCCGGGCAAGGTGCTGTCAGCTCTTGAGGGCTGATCTTAAAATATTAGTTAATTCTTGGTGCTACCCGATCAGGCCAATGCTCAGAGCTCCCACCCCTTTCCCAACTGCAGCAGGCAGACATCCCACAGGGTGTGTATCCTGAGATGGCCTGAATCCTTGCCGGGGATTGGGGGAAGGGCTGGAGGGGTCAAACTCCCTCCTGGCCCAGCGCCATCCTCGGCAGGCCAGATCGGGTCCCCTCACCCTGCAGCTGCAGGAGGCGGCAGAGTCCGAATGTGCCCCACAGTTGTGTGTCTGGACATAGCCAGTCGCACAAAGTCGGCCCCAGAAACAGGCAGCCTTGGGAGGAGGGGGGGAGGGGCTCCATCGCTCACCAAAGCAGAACTACTAGACTCTTTTCATGTTTCCCCTAGCACGATTTTGATTTTCTCTTGAGTTCTTCCTGCCACCCCAGCCCTCAACATACACACACACACACACACACACACACACACACACACACACAAACACACAAATACACAGAGCAACTTTGTTTGTTTCTACAACCCACAACAGCTGCAGAGGCGCTCGAGTTTCGCTTCCCCACGCGCCCAGCCTGAAGCGTTGGGCCCCTCCGAAGCGGAACCGAGAAACTGGCCCTGATCCAGCAGGTAACTAGCCTGGATTCTTCTCCGAGGCAGCTCCGGGACTCTCCCGCTCCGCCTCATGGCTGAGTCTCCAGGTGGGGCGGCCCCCTCGGTCCTCTGCCCCCCCAGAGAAGGCTGAGGGGGCCCTCCCGGCTCCCGAGGAGACCCTGGACAACTCAGGAAACAAACTGATGGAGGGTTGGACAAATGTCCAGAGGCTCCGATTCTCCTCATTCACACATTATGTGCAGACTTGGCTCTGGGGGGGGGGGCTCTGATGCCGGGAAAGGTGGAAGGAAAGAGAGGAAAAGGATGAGAAGCATGGAGGGGGAGGGACTCAGTTGCAGTGGGGGGAGGGGGCTGCTGGCAGAGGACCTGGAGGAGTGGGGGGGACGGGTCTCCCCAGAGAAAGTCCGTCCATGGGGTGACACCAACTTGATGGCAGGTAACCATCATTAGCC